GTGATATCAAAGATTGTTGGTCTAGTAGATGAATTCAAATACACAAGACTAGAGGTTGTACTTTTTTCATTAGTGGATTTTCCCCCAATGAGGGTCCTCACTTATATTTTAAAGAGACAACAATTGCAACGCAATACACTATTTTATCCTATTTGTTTTTTGGGAGGAGCTTTTGACGAGACATGTGCGTTCCAAAATAATTAAACGTTCAAGTGGGAGTATTAAAAACAGACACCAATGCATATTAAGAAAAGTCCAAGGGGGCATTTAGAGATAGTAATCAATGTCATTAGTAATATGGAATGGTACTTTTGCAACATATGAAAAGGTTAATGCGAGCTTATTGGTGAACTTTCCAGGGTGGGTTAGGCTATATAAAGCCATGATATGGAGAACTTCTATACATAGGTTGATTTACGCACAAGAGAAGACATTTTTTAAGAGAATATAATATAAGAGTTTATAAGTTTCTCTTTATACGTACTTGTGTCCTTGTTCCTGCAATGTGTTCATTTGTCTGTTGAACATTCGAGTCAAAGAGGAAGACCAACAAGCGATTTTGAAACATAAATCACCATCTTGTTCTCGACCCGCGACCAGCTAGGAAGCACCTCTTTTCACCATTAAAAGGCAGCAAAAATATCACAAAATCCATGCAAAGACAACATACCATTTAAATTCAAGTTTTTTTGAAGGTCAACAAGCTTTCAAGACGGTTACCAGAAATTTCGACCGAAAATAAAACATTGCTCGTCATTATTTAAGTAAAGGTGTTAATGACACAACACAGTAATTTTGTTACCAAGACTTGTCATGATAACGGATGTCTTGTCCCCACCGGCCACAAGTTTGCGACCGCCTCTTTTCACCTTGAGAAGACTAACAAAATATCGTGAAATCCAGTCAAAGACAATGGCAGCACTGTGTGGGATGGAAAAGCAATGTGCGGGAACATTGCAAGCCTCTCTCTCCTAGTTAGTAGACCTGCCTTTAATCAACACAACTTTGAAACCAGTTTGAACATTAAATTGAGCACACGTACTAACACTTCACATCAATCAAATCACTTAAAACCATGTACACTGACTCACTCCTTCCGTGGTCAACTTGTCCACTGCACCACTCGACCCAAATTTAACTCATGTACCCACTGCACAACACCAGCAAATTTCAATAGTGGCATTTAGTGTCAGTTGCATTGCACAAGGCTAACTCAAATGCAAACTACACATATCAATTAGTAAAGTAACTAACCCTAGAATAATTAACCATTTGAAGGCACCCAGCTAGATGAATACACCAGTTAGATAGACTCAAACTCTATTTCAGAACCCTAAAATTAAGTCAAACGTGACATGTTTCAGTTAATTCAGAGTTCTAAAATTCAGTCAAACAGAACATGAACCTTCAATTAATTTAGAGTCCTAAATTCAGTACTTCAGTTCATTCAGTCACAAACAGCAACAACAAGATTCAGTTAACCTAGGCGAGCGACAAAATTTGCTAGAATTCCAGCAAACCCTAGTTTCCAAATCTGGAATCCTAGAATTCCACCAATGAAATTTGCTAATATAAAGAGGTAGGCAACTCACCTAGGGGCTCGACCACCCCCGTGAGGGCGTAGGCAACATCTGCCGTTGTCGGCGGTGGCGATGATGAAATACTCTGAAATGAATATGTTGTGGCTGCAACAATATTCCTCCTCGCCGTGGGAGCCCCCTGCCACACCGGCCAACCACGCTTCACATTATGTCCACCATGCCTTGTCCCCGCCACTCCCTTGCTGATGGATCCGAAGCCACCACCGCCGCCATGTCCGCGAGAGAGAGAGAGAGAGAGAGAGAGAGAGAGAGAGAGGAGAGGGAGGGGAGTGACGGAGGGAGCGCTCGGTTTGGGCTGACCCAGTCGCTTCGGACATAGCCGTTAATGGCACACCATCACCGATGTCGGACCGTGAGGGATCAGCCACGTCAAAACGTGCTCAAAAAATGGCTCAATGGTTTTTGCCGCTATCAATTTAAAAAAAAAACTATACTAGTAGGTGGAGAAGCCCCTACTGATTTTTAATAAAGAAGGAGATGTGAGACCCGTGTAAGAACCGATGTCCGAACCAACACAACACTCTAACCACTGAACTAAGAGCTCATCCACCACTATCAGAATTTCGGTTCGGTGTGAAATGTGTGAAACCGTGAAGTGGTGGTTTTCCGCTAATCATAACACGAATGTGATGATTCTGTGCATTTAACTTGATGCCCTCACATTTGCAAGGGCCACCTTGCTAGTTTACCCATTGCTTAAAAATAATACTGCATTCTTTCGTCGCCTAGTATCGATCAATCTGAACCATCGAATCTGCTGGTTGGACGGGCTATATTTGCACACGTCCCTAGCGTAAAAGGCCGTGACTTTGTCTGAAAGTGACTCCACGCAGTAATGCGGAGTCGTTGCAGTTGATGTCAACGGAGAGCCTGTAGCGACACGTCCCGTCGGCATCTCTGAAAGAAGGTTCCTTGCTAGTACTAGCTAGCCAGCGCACCGCTAAAATATTTCCAGCAGAAAAGAGACCTCGACGGTGACTCCCCGTGCTAGTGCGTGGTGGAGTCACTTCAGGTAAAGCCATGGCCGTCGCACGCACTCAGGAACCGACAGCATGCACAACTCATACCCATGTCGTTAGCTCGTGACAACTGACATCTGTGGCTGGCGCGCGTGAAAAACAGGCTCCGCCCGTTGTTAAATGCGCGCTCCACCGGACACACGGCCGCTCACACAAGTCCGGTGAGCTGCTTTAATTCTTCAGCTAGTCTGGCGAGCTCTTACAAACTGCAAGTCTCCCAGCAGCGGCGGCAAGGCATCCACATGGCGTCGTGGTCCACCGGCCTCTTCGGCTGCTTCCACGACGTTGGCGGCTGTAAGCTAATAGCTTCATCCCTCCCTCCCACCCTCCTGTTAAAGTAGAGCAACACGAAAAGTGGCTGCAGAGGCCGAGCTCCATTGAGCTCTATATACATTTCTCAGCCAAAATACCTTTTTCATAACTCAAAAAAATCTGAAAAAAATGTTTTCATGTAAACATATACTTAAGTATGCGTGTACAAATTTTTATAAACATATGTATTCATATGTGATGTATATAAAAAAGACAAATACACAGATTGAAATAGGCTTTTTCTTTGTTGTATTTGTGTCAGATATTTGTCTTTTTTGTGTAGCATGCAAATGATAAAATTAGTTACTGAAAATTTATACATAGTTAAAGAATATGCATATGTATTTTTTTAAAAAAATTGGCATTTTTTGAAACTTTTAAATATATTTTGATTTTTTTTTTTTACAAAACGAGCTCCATGGAGCCCGGTCTTTGCAACGCCGCAATCTAGAGCAACACCGCTATAGTGCTTGTGATGAGCAGCACAGAGTTATTTTTCTACCACACACGTTGGTTAGTTGCCCGGCGGTAAATTTGGTTATCTCCGGGTAACCGGATTTCTCGCTGCTACCCCACGGTAAAAGGAGGTACCGAGCACCTTTTTTGTTGTTGCAAATTTTGAATTTGGACGCCGAACTTGTATAGTAGTTAAAATACCGTAGCATCAGCCTCTCATAATGTAAGATAACTACTAGTCTTGGCGTAGTGGTAAGAACGTAGCTTCCTGCAGGCTGCCTGACCTTCTTCTGCCCGTGCGTCGCCTTCGGGAGGATCGCCGAGATCGTCGACAAGGGGGCCATATGTGAGTTTTTTCATTTCTGTCTCTGCACTTGATAGTAGCCGAAGGAGGAGTAACTCACTACCTACTCACTTGCCAGCATGCTGTGCGAGCGGGACGCTGTACATGCTTCTGGCCATGACGACGGGGGTGGGCACCGGCTTCTACTCCTGCTGCTACCGTGCCAAGCTGCGGGAGGAACACGGGCTCGCCGAGAAGCCCTGCGGCGACTGCTGCGTCCACTTCTTCTGCGGCCTCTGCGCCCTCTCCCAGGAGTACCGCGAGCTCAAGAACCGTTGTTTCGACATGAGCGCGGGATGGGAAGCCAGCGCGGAGAGGATGGGGAAGACCGCCGCGCCCTATGTGAACTCCGGGATGACTCGTTAGGTGGATCCAAATGCAGTGCACACTTCTATTCTAGTAGTCAACATGCAGCTTCTATTCTAGTCTTGTTTCTTGTGATCCATGTAATTAATATGTGTTAGTGAACCCTCAAAATAAAAAGTGTGCAAGTGTGTTTTCCTGTAACTCCGGTGAAATCATGTTACTGTGTGCAAGTGCGGGATGGAAAGCTGGCTTAAGTCTTGAATGCAGTTAATGGGTGTTGTGACCGCATATTTGTATGGACGACTTGACTTGGACATTTACATGAAAGCCTCCGAAGGATTGAAAATTGCGGATCTTGTATGATGCGTAAGACCGGCTAACTGAATAAAGACCCATTCTAACCGTTAAAGGCGAACGGGGAAGTTTTGGGACCCAAAGTTCCGTGTTTGAGCGCCATAGGTGCAAAAATGTATGTTGCGAATTGCAACAGGCCCAACAGTATGTTCACGGTAAATCTGCTAGCCAAGTATAGTGTGGACCTGACAAGGGGTTTGTGAATTAGTTTGGGAAGCGTAGAACCCTTTGTCTCGGGCCGCATATATATATTGAGGCAATGCCTTGGTGCATACGTTTACAGAGAGAAAACCGATCGAGGGAGAGGGAGATCGGTTGGGAGGAGATCGACCTATAAGGAGAAGATGAGATAGAGTTGGATACAAGTTAAACACCTCTTCTATCCCTATACAATAATTCTAACACTCCCCCTCAATCTAAACCTCAAGCCTTGCTAAGGTTGAGATTGTACTTGAACTCGTCTAGTCTTCTCTCGGTCAAGGGTTTAGTAAACCCATCCGCAAGTTGATCCCCTGTAGGAATAAACCGGATCTCAAGTAGCTTTCGAGCTAATCTCTCTCTGACAAAGTGGAAATCCACTTCAATATATTTTGTTCGTGCATGAAAAACAGGATTTGCTGAAAGATAAGTTGCACCAATATTGTCACACCACAGCCGTGCAGCTTTTGGAGCTTTAATCCCAAGTTCATAAAGTAATGTTTGTATCCACATCACTTCAGCTCTAGCATTTGCCAACGACTTGTATTCAGCCTCTGTACTGGATCTTGAAACAGTGGCTTGCTTTCTTGCACTCCATGACACAAGGTTAGATCCCAGAAACACAGCAAAACCACCAGTAGATCTCCTATCATCAGCACACCCTGCCCAGTCTACATCAGAATATGAAGTAACAAGCAAGGAAGGAGACTTGACAATCTGAAGTCCAAGTCCTTGAGAATACCGAAGATACCTCAGAATTCTTTTAACTGCTGTCCAATGAGTGGTTCTAGGAGCATGCAAATATTGACATACCTTGTTTACTGAATAAGAGATATTAGGGCGTGTAAGAGTCAAATATTGCAAGGCACCTACAACACTTCTATAATTTGTTGCATCCTCTGGACCAAGAGCTGCTCCACTGTCAATTGTAAGCTTTTCTGAGGTGGAGATTGGTGTACTGACCGGTTTGCAATTCTCCAATCCCACCCTCTTTAGAACATCGGCTGTGTATTTCTCTTGTGATAGAAGTATTCCATCGCTGATATGCTTTACCTCTATGCCAAGAAAGTAGTGAAGATCACCTAGATCTTTGAGAGCAAATTCAAGATTTAAATCCTTAAGCAAACAAGTAGTGGCCTCTTGACTTGAGCTAGCAACAATTCTATCATCAACATAAACAAGAACAAAAACAGTGATATTGCCTTTGCTATAAAAGAACAAGGATGTATCTGCTTTGGACGATGTGAAACCAAGATGCTGTAGCTGCATGCTCAACCTAGAATACCATGCTCTTCGAGCCTACTTGAGACCATATAGGGCTTTATCCAACTTACATACATAATGTGGTGTGCTGTGATTTTCATAACCTGGTGGTTGCCGCATGAACACATCTTCCTCAAGAACACCATGAAGAAACGCGTTCTGAACATCCAGCTGTCTTAAGCTCCAACCTCTGGAAATAGCAATGGACAAAACAAGATGAATAGTAGTTGCTTTAACCACAGGACTAAAGGTATCATCATAATCAATTCCAAACCTTTGCTTGAAGCCCTTTGCAACCAACCTTGCCTTGTATCTGTCTATACTGCCATCTGATTTTTTCTTAATCTTGTATACCCATTTACAGTCAATTATATTAGCACCATGTTGCGGTGGTACTAGATGCCAACTCTGATTCTTTATAAGTGCATTATATTTATTATCCATGGCTTCCTTCCAATCTTTATTAGCAAGAGCATCATGCAAATTAATAGGTTCACCAGAAGTGGCAAGGAAGGCACGCCTGGTCGGATTATACCTTATTGTACCATCACTATATTGTTTTTCTTTAACAATACCTGACCGAGACTTGGTGTTTCGACGAAGAGGTGAAGGAGCCAGAGAAACAGTTTCTGTTGGTTGTGGCGCGGGAGATCCTGCTGATTCGATGTTGTGCACAGAAGATCCAGGCAGATCCGGCTCCTAATCCGAGGAGGATTGACGCTGCTGGCGCTGCTCCTCGTCTGACGCGCAGCCAGAGCCGACCGGCGAATCAGAACCGCCTGGCCGGTTCCATGTTGTCGCAGCAGAACTGGCAGGACCAGTCGGTGTGACCCAAGGTGACGTGGCGGCGAGTGACTCGCTCCCCCCGTGCCTCGCTCGATGGACGTCTCGGGGCACGCTGGCGGAGATTGGCGCGACGCGCCTGGACTGGCGCAACCCACCTGGTCGGCTGCGCCGCTATCGGCCACTAGGGAGTGCAGGGGCGGATCTGCACCGGATCGCATGCCTGCAGTCTGACGCGAATCCTGCTCGGATCGCGCGCTGGCAGAAGGATCATCATCGGAGTCCGGTCCTGGTTTGTCCTGTGTGCACATAAAATGACAGATAGAATCTGCGCAAGAGGTATTAGAAATGCAATTTTCTTTGGATTTTTGCACATGGTCATGATCAGTTAATTCACCCCCGTGATCTGGACATGTAGGAGAGTCGGAGAGAAGTGCGATTTCTGCATGAAGCAAAGCACCCGCATTGGGATGAAAATTGGAGAAAGGAAATAGTGTCTCATCGAAAACAACATCCCGAGAGATATAGATGCGTCCGGTGGATGGTTCAAGACATTTGTAACCTTCATGAAGATTACTGTACCCAAGAAAAACACATTGTGTGGAACGAAACTTAAGTTTGTGATGATTGTATGGACGTAAATTGGGGTAACAAGCACACCCAAAAATTTTGAGATAATTGTAATCTGGCTTTTGGTTATACAATCATTCTAAAGGAGTAGAATTGCCAATAACCTTACTGGGAAGACGATTGATGAGATATGTAGCTGTGATGAAGGCCTCATCCCAATACTTGAGGGGCATGGACGCATGAGCTAAAAGAGAGAGACCAACCTCAACAATATGGCGGTGTTTGCGTTCAGCAGAGCCATTCTGCTGATGAGCATGAGGACAAGATACATAATGGGTGATCCCAATACTACGGAAAAAGGAGTTGAGTTTTTCATACTCCCCTCCCCAGTCACTTTGGACTGCGATGATTTTCTTATCAAAGTGTCTCTCAACAAGTTTCTGAAATTCTTGAAAGATGGAAAAAACTTCAGATTTATACTTGAGTAAATAAATCCATGTAAACTTGTTGTAATCATCAATGAAGCTAACATAGTATTTTTTTCGACCAAAAGAATCTCGGGCATCACCCCATACATCACTGAAGATCAATTGTAGGGGAGCATGAGAAACACTACTAGACTTAGGATAGGGAAGCTGATGGCTCTTGGCACATTGACATGCTTCACAAACAGACTCATTATTGGAGCTAAGTGACAAAGGAAGATTGTTTTTATTGACGACTTGCCTAACTATGATTGATGAGGGATGACGTAATCTTTGATGCCACCTTGCCAAAGAGGGCTTGATGACGGAGTAGACTCGACGATGCTTGTTGCTAAGTGCTCCGGATGAGATGGGGTAGAGGCCGCCAACGCATCTACTGTGATAGAGGAGTGCCCTCATTGCCCGATCCTTGATAAAAAAATAGCGAGGATGAGTCTCAAAGAAAACATTGTTATCAGTGGCTAAGCGAGACATAGAGGCAAGGTTTTTATCAGCTTGAGGAACATGAAGGACATCCTTAAGAACTAGATCACATTGAAGGTTAGGGGAATTAAGCGAAACTTGACCAATATGACAAATATCCATACCTTTACCGCTAGCGGTGTGGATCTGATCGGTGCCATGGTATGTCTCGCGCAGAGCAAGTTGCTCTAACTCATTTGTGACGTGGTCCGTAGCGCTGGAGTCAACATACCAAATGCCATCCCCGCCTTGCTCGCGCATAGCAGCTGCAACCAAGCGAGCATCCGGGACGAAGTTTTCATCATACCGATGCCAACAGTCGATGACCTCATGACCAGCCTTCTTGCAGAGCTGACAGCGAGGACGGCTGCGGGAGAAGGAGGAGGGGCGGCGGCCAGTGTTGGAGTTGAAGCCGCCACCCCCATGGTTGTTGCCATAGCCGCCGCCCTCGGTGTTGTGGCCGTAGGCGCCACCAGAGCGGGTGCCATCGCCCGAAGAGAAGCCACGGACGCGACCACCGACACGGTTGCCGCCCTGGTGACCATGGCCACGGCCGCGACCCCGTGCAGCGGAGTATGCAGATGATTGCTGGAGATCGCCGCCATGGAGGAGGGTGAGGCGGGCATCAAAACTGAGGAGCTGGCTGTGCAGCTCCGGGACCGTGATTGGTTCCATGCGTGCAGCAAGAGCAGAGACGACAGGGTTATATTCCATGTCAAGGCCAGCAAGGATCTTGGAGACGATCTCCGGGTCGGAGAGCACCGAGGCCGTGCACGCGACTTCATCTTTGAGCGTCTTGATCTTGCTGAGGTACTCTGCCATAGACATATTACCTTTTTTAAGGTTGGTGAGCTCGATGCGGGTGTTGATCGCTTGCGCTTGGCTCTAGGCAGCAAACATGTCGTTGATGGCACGCCATACCGCGGCCGGCGTCTGGAGCGTGGC